GACCACTACCAACTTGGGGAGGAAAGGGTTTATTTGTCTTACATCTCCTGGGTCACAGTTTATCATGGAGCCCAAGGTAGGAACTCAGGGAAGGAACCTGGAGGCAGGAGCTAGAGCACAGGCCATGGAGGAATGCTGCTTACTGGCTGGCTCCCCTGGCCCCTGCTCAGCCTGCTTTCTTATGCAACACTGGCCCACCTGCCCAAGGGATGGCACCACCTACAGTGGGCTGGGCCCTCCCACATCACTCAGCAATCAAGAAGGTGCCCCATGGACATGGCCACAGGCCAGTCCAATGAAGGTAATTCCCCAATTGAGGCTCCCTCTACCCAGGTGTGTCAAGTTGACACTAAAGCTATCCAGCACAGTGGGCCAGGGTAGAGCCAGTGGTAGAATGCTTCCTGAGCATGTGCAAGGCTGTGGGTCCATACCTAGCACCACTAAATAAGATGAAGTCAAATAAGGAGCCAGAGTTCACCTACAGTCCTTACAGAGGCATCAGGAACTTTGCAGAGCCCACCCCAGGCTCCCTACCTGTAGTAAACAGGAAGCAGCAGTTCTGGCTTCTTTATTTCCTGGGGAGGTGGGATGATGGCTTTACCCTCCAATTCTGCTGTCTCTTCCGCCTCCACTGTTTTAGGAGCTCCAGGTCACTGGCTGAGGTGAGTTCATCCCAAATGTGGCTCCAGTCATACTGCTGGCGCAGGAAGCTCTGCCATTTGTTGGGCGATACTCCAGGCCTCAGAGGACGCTTGCTCTGGATCCATTGGGCTGTGCGCTTGTTCAGCTTCTTCAGCACGATAGCCTCCCAGCCTCTAGCCGCCGCCTCTGCAGGCGGAAGCCAGGCCTCCCTTTCCTCCAGACTCTCATCTGGAGAGGGTGACAGGTCCAGTGTATCTAGCTTCCTGCAGGGATGATGGGTGTGAGGGTGAACTGCTTTCTGTTCCGAGCATTCTGGCTTTGGTTTCTTCATCTTTTTAGAATTGGCAGAGCTTTCTGTCTTCACAGACTGAGTGGTGTCTCCTGCTGAGAGAGCTGAGGAATACAGAAACTTACTGCTGGCAGGTTTCTTAGTGTAGACCTTCCTGGTCTGGGGAGGCAGGATGGTGTCATCTGTTTTATAGATGTGGTCAAAGCTGTATTGGCTATAAGGCATGCTGGGCAGCCCCCGCTGCCACCTTACCTCCTGAGAGAAGGAAAGGTTGGCTGCAGCCTTTTTCAGATACTGGGTCTTAACATGGTCACAGTACCGTGGGCTGAAGTGGAAAACCGGTGGCACTCTAGAGACAGAGGTATACTCCACCTTGTCCATGGGTTTTGTGCAGAGGAAAGCCATGCCCCATCCCAATCGAGGCGGGAGTGGCTCAAGACAACGGAAGGAGGGAAGTGTCTTTCTCTTTTTGGTCTTGTTCATGTTTCCCAGCAGATGCTCCTCTCCACTCTGCTGATTCAGAGGCAGTGCCTATAGCAGGGACCAGGCACCTGAGAAGGGGCTGGAAGACACCAAGAATGCTTTAGGCTAGCAGAAATTACAGGAAGAAAGTGACTTGGAATACAGCCGGGAGAAGTGGAGTGGAGTGGGGCAGGGTGGGGTGAGGAAGTCATGAGAATTCAAAGAACGAAAGAAAGTGTGTAATATTTGAAATATTTCTTATAGCAGACCCTTGCTTCCAATTCTCTCATTTGTCTCCCAGGCTCAGACTCTTGTCTTCTTAAGAGAGATCCTTGCTTTTCAACAGTACCCCACATTTCTTCCTTCAAACATTTCCTTTTCTCTGTTCAAAAAGCTTATAGAGGCAGCTGGGCACAGCAGAGCATACCTGTTGTTCCAGGTACTGGGAAGGTCAGGTGGGATGGCAGAGTGAGTCCAGGAGTTCCGGGCCAGACTGAGCAACATAGCCAGACCCTTCCCCCTGCCCTCCCGACAGAAAGAAAGAAAGAAAGAAGGAAAAAGAAAGAAAAGAAAGAAAGAAAGAGAGAGAGAGAGAGAGAGAAAGAAAGAAAGAAAGAAAGAAAGAAAGAAAGAGAAAAGGCTTATAGCATATAAGTCAAACAACTCAGGCTTCATAATTCTCCACGAGCAGTTTGTAACCTTGACCTGGCATGTAACCTCTGAGGCAGCTGAATCCCCGGGTGCTCTGTGAGCATTTCTCTGTCTACACAGTGCAGCTTCTTACCATGTCCTCTGCATGAAATGGCCTTTCGTCCATACTTGGCACAAATCTCACCTGGTCCAGCTCAATTTCTACCTGTCCCATAACTCTTTCTTGACCTACTGAGGCCACCTTATCATACTTGAATTTATAAATCCCTCCTAGCCCATACCTCTTTAAGTGTGGCATCTTACATTTTGAAATATTTGGTTCTCTAACTGTGCTTCTCCATGTCCATGTTTCCTGCCTCTTTTGTTTGTCAAACCACTAGAGACTTTCCATATTGCTATATAACCTTCACTATTAAAATGCTTAAGCTGGGGCTGGAGAGGTGGCTCAGTGGCTAAGAACGCTGCTCTTGCAGAAGACCCAGGTTCTAATCCTAGCACCCACATGGCAGCTAACAACTGTCCGTAACTCCAGTTCCAGGGGATCTGACAGCCTCTTCTGACCTCTGCGGGCATTGCACAACACGGGTGTACTTACCTACATGCAGGCAATACACACGTACACATAAAATAAAAATAATAAATAAAATATATAAAAAAGCTTAAGTCATCCATATCATAGTCTATGGAGTAGATAAATTACTTTGGCTCTTTAATTATTGGGTAAACTGTTTCTAGGTTTTAGCTAACATGGGAAACACCACAGAGAATAAGTACTTCCATTTATTTTGTTTTGGTTTCCTTCTGAAGCACTCTCTAGCCTAATAATGATAGTTATTAGTAATAATGGAGTACATTGCTAATGATTTTGCAGAGGGAACGTATATCTTCAAAGAAGCTGGGGCTCAAAGTGGTAGGTAGATTGCTTCTGATCACAAGGCCCATAAATAGAGGAGTTAGGTTTCAAATTCTGCAGTTTGCAGGGTTGCAACTCCAGAGAACTTAACTCTTGTGCCATTCTTGGCCTTCTCCACTCCCATCACTCAATATGCTGGTCTTGCCACACTCCCAAGGGCAAGTGCTTTTATTTCACTCAGACCAACTCCTGTCCTTCCTGCATTGTCCCAAGGTTCCCTCCACCCCCAACCATATGATTCTTCCCTTTCCTCAGTAGCATGCAGCACATACTTTCTTTTCCTAGGGTTCAACTTATCCTACCATCTTCCAAGAATGAGCCATGACCTTGTGATGTCTTTCTATCATGGTCAGCTTTTATATAGAATGTTTGCTTCTAGGCCAGAGTCGATAACTTCTTTCAAATTAAGTCACATGGGATTATTTTGATACTCCTATGCGATTTTTTTTTTTTTTGTCTTTTTGAGACAGGGTTTTCCTATAGCCCCAGCTGACATGAACTCACTATGTAGACCAGGCTGGTCTTGAACTCAGAGTTTCACCTGCCTCTGCCTCCTGAATGCTGGGACTAAGGGTGTGTGCCATCATGCTTGGCTTTAGGATTTTTTAAAATTTTTAAATTTTTTTATTTTGTGTATATGAGTATATTGCCTGCATGTATGTGAGTGTACCCGTGTTGTGCAATGCCGCGGAGGTCAGAAGAGGGTGTTGGATTCCCCTGGAACTGGAGTTAAGGACAGTTCGTAGCCGCCATGTGGGTGCTGGGAATTAAACCCATGTCCTCTGCAAGAGCAGTCAGTGTACTTAACTGCTGAGCCATCTCTCCAGCCCAAGATTTTTTTTCCTACAAAAAAATAGTTTGTTTTATCCCTTCACAACCATGAGGGCAGCATGGCCACAAGGGCATTTGGTATTTAAATAATCGGACTAGAAGAATTAGGGCAAAGGTAAAGGCTAGTCATAAGGAAATATTTTTCCTGAAATAGTTGCCTACTCTTGCTGGTTGAAAATGAACTGTCAAATGAGAACACTGTGTGTCCTGTGTGTATTGCTCTAATAAAACATTTCACATTCTTACACAGTGTAGATCTTTATCCTAAGTCAGGAGGCATTTTGATTCTAGGCACTTTTAAAATTATATTTATACATTTAATTTTATGTGTCTCTGTGTGCATGTGCACATGTCTGTGGGCATATGCCACAGCATACTCCAGCATGTGGAGGTTGGAGGATAACTGGTGGGAATTAGTTCTCTCCTTCCACCACATGGGACCCAGAGATGGAAATCAGGTCATCAGTAAGCATCTTTACCCACTGAGCCATCTTGCTGGTTCCTTAAACACTTTAAAAACAGGGTGAGGATGGGTTTCCCTCCCTCCTATATAGAGTGATAGGTGTCCTCAGACATGCCCTTTTAACCTGTGCAATAAGAACTTTAGTAATAGTGTAACCAGAAAGAATACTATATCATCATCATCAGTTATCATACATTCTCAAAAGAATAGTTATTGTCTGATGTGATGGCTAATTGGTAAGGAAGGAGATGCATGATAGGTTCATTTTAAAAGGAAGACACACGCCGGGCATGGTGGCGCACACCTTTAGTCCCAGCACTTGGGAGGCAGAGGCAGGTGGTTCTCTGTGAGTTCAAGGCCAGCCTGGTCTACATAGTGAGTTCCAGGACAGCTGGAGCTACAGGGAGACCCTGTCTCAAAAAGACCTTTTTTTTTTTATTTTGATATATCACAGTGAAAGATTTATCGTCCTCTTTTTTTTTTTTTTTTTTTTCAAAAAAAAAAAAAAAAAAAAAAAAAAAAAAAAAAAAAGGAAGACACACACACCAAAATGAAGATATACATAAAGAGCAAAATAAGGTTTGATCAGAAGAGCTTTGTCCTTCTCCGTCTTAGCATCAGAACACAGAGGTGAGGCCAGGTTCTGCACTTTCCAGCCAGCCCCCATTATAGTTCCTTGACTTAATATTTTTGGTTTGGCAGTCTGAAAGCAAAGATTCTGATTTCATTTTAATTTGGTGTTGATACCCTAAAGCTCAAAACTGAAAATGTGTGAAAGTTCTTTATAAGCTCCAAAGGAGTACATAAATGTAAGAAATTATTATTGTTTTGCAAGATGGACCTCTTAAGAGGCAGAGCTCTGAATTAGATTCACTGGGGGTAGACTTTAGGAAGACACTTTAGGCAGACACTTTGAAGATGCTTAGAGAGGAAGAAAAGTACTACATAGAAATCAGAAGCTCCACATTATCCAAATGTAGATGTTATATGTTCAGGGTCCTCACTTCCAACAAACATCCTTTCAGAACCAGAAGCAAAACAGCAGACCCTGGACCTTTGGTACATTTAGCAGCACCCCTCCCAAACAAAACAACAAAGCAAAACTCCCAGGTAGTCAATGTAGCCTAACTGTAGACTATATCCTGTAGTTCCAGCATGCAGCATCTACCAGGCTTATCTCTGCACTTCTAGAAACTTTCACTGGAATGCCAAGAGAGGTTGGAAAGTTAGGCTGTAGGCTGCCAGTTAAAACTTGAGCTTTATAGATCCCCAACTGTACAATGTAAAAGTTGAAGTCCCCTCCTATCTTTGATATTTTATAAATCTAAAACAACCCTTCAATTCAAAATGGGTTGTATCTCAGAGATTCCAACTTTAGTTCCAGTGTTCTATTTGCTTACCCTCTGGTCTGATACCTTTATTGTACAAGTGATTGAAATGGGTTAAATAATGTATTTCCTCTGTTATTAAAAGTGAGGCTTTGAAACCGGCATTTAACCACCTCTCGGGTTGGAATATACATTAGATTTATAGAAACCATGGGGGCAAAGACTATTAGTGAGGGATATAAAATAAAGTTCTTGGAAGAAGCTACATCTGTGTTAAAGGTCTTGTAGACTGCTTGGTCTTGACTGACTAGAACATACTTGTAGAGAGAATGTAATTTTATAATCAAGAACTGAAGTTGGGTGGCTAGAGAGATGGCTCAGCAGTTAAGAGCACTGACTGCGCTTGGAGAGGACAGGGGCTCAATTACTAGCACCCACATGGTGGCTAACACCCATCTGTAACTCCAGTTCCAGGGGATCCAACCCCTTCTTCTGACTTCCATGGGCATTGCATGACATGAATGCCCTTATATGCAGGCAATACACTCATACACATTAAATAAAAATAATAAATACTTTTTTTTTAAAAAGAGAACCTTTTTTCCCTCTCTCTTGTTAAGTGAAATTATAGGGAAGTTCTGGAGAGACCTTGGTTGGAATTATAACCTGATAAAGTAAAATCAGGAGCCACTAGATGTTAGACAAAGACACTGTCTTTCTTCCAGAATCAATCAGTGCCCCCTGCAGTGAATGTTCCCTCTCACCCTCCCTCTTTAAAGTTGATAAGAAGCTATATTGTGCTGTGGCTTGTAGCCCCTTCCCCTCATAGCTGCAAGATAAGTTTATGGTTCTGCCTAATACCTGTCCCTTGGTACCTAGACTAGGCCAGACTAGGTCATATGGTGTAAAGCTTCCCACCACCCTCTGAAAAACTATAAAGGTAAGACATTTCTTTGGTTTCTTGGGAACTGAAGTTTCTGTCCCCCCTTTTAGGCGCTGCTATATATGGTGCCCGTCTCTCCTAATGCCTCCCACTTAAGGAGGCTCTCTCTCCTAATGTAGCTCCTCTGGGATTTGAAGTGGAGGCTTTTTCTCTCCCTCTGAGGCCCCATCATCCTGTCTCTGGTACGAAGCTGTATGTCTCTTGATTGCTTTCCCACTTCAAGGCCAGATCATCCCATCCATGCCACCCCCACCCTAGGCTCTTTTCCTAATAAAACTTACTCTGAAGGGTAATTGGTCTCAGCTTCCTTTTTCTCAAACCAACCTACCGCTCTGCCTGCCACTTTCTGTTACAACATTAGGGTTGCACGAGGGTTTTAGTACATGTCCTTTCCCTGTAAATGGGGTTTCTGGTGATATTTCAAGAAAGTTGTAGGTTTATAGCTGGGAAGGGAACAGGGCCTTTAGTTGTTAATTGTGCTAGAATTCTCATCTGGTAAGAAGCTTCAACCAGATTCCTAGGTGATGGGCTCATTTCTCATGTCCCATAACTTTCTATTTTCTATCCTGCTTCCATTATAAGGGAAACTTGGGTTAATAAGGAGAGCAAGATCAGGGAACTCCCAGACTCAATCTGGGTTATCCCCCACTCCCCCTCTACCTTTCTTCAAAATTTCCTCCCCTCCCCACATTCTCTGACTTCTAATTTCCATTTCTCACCATGCATTCACACAGCTATACAATTGTCCCCAAAGATAATGCTTCAAAATTGTAGCAGGAGGCCTCCAAAGATGGCGCAGACCCAGAGCCCTGGGATTCGCCGAGAATTCACTTCACTTCTTGATCCGCAAATAGCCCGCCAAAAGGAGCCCACGCCTCCGTACCCTGCTCGCAAGCCCAGTGACTGCTGACAGACTGCATGGCGCGGACCAATCAGAAACCGATACACTGACTAAAGGGACTTGGGGGCAGAGAAAAGGGAAATATAAGGCCTGCCCCCTCCTGCATTAACCGAGCCTGCAGCACCTCGCCTACCCAACTCCCAGAGTCTGTGTGTTGTGACTCTACGCCTCTTGCCTCCCCAATCGGCAGGGGACCCGATCCAGGTTAGGGCCTTCACAGCAGGCCTGAGGAGAGTCCGCAACACAAAATACCATAAAAATGGTCTGCTCCAATGCCTTCATCCTACAGATCCCAAAACCAAGGTATAGAGAGAAGAGACTTGACTAAGCTCACAGTCCTGGTAGCTATCTGAATACTGATCCTTTTGTACTTACCCAAAGTTTTTCCCATTACTACAGGTTGCCTCTCCTCATGCATCTGATACCAACTCTAGATCCTGCTAAGGCTGCCAAGCTTTGAAATTACCTTCAAAATGGTATATCTTCCCACAGTACAGTCAAAGGGAAGCAGGATTCTACATCTTAATCCTTCCTTGGTTCCCTAGGGTTCAGTGCTGCTTAACTGCTTATGGTCACCAAGCAACTGACTTCAGAATTCCATGAGTCTACTCACAGAAACTGTGGGTTCTATTGGGGGTATCTTAAACTACTTATTAAATTTCCTTCTTTGGAAAGTTGCCTCATATTTGTTGATTGGTGTCTTAATGGATTTCCTAGTCAATCTTTGAAAAATAAACCTCTATGTCTATATAGCTTAATATCCCAGGAGCTCTTAGGTCCTGTTAAAAAAAAAGCCAAAACAGACTATATGAATGGTTTCTGGGCCTAACACTGTCTAGTTGATGCATGCTGTGATGGTCAGGTATTTTTTCTTCTTTATTTTTACTTATACTTTTATAAATTATGAGCATTTGTTTTGGACTTAGATTTTTGTTTAATGAGGTATGCTATGAATATGATATGGCTGACACTAGATATGCAAAATAGATTTATTTTTTTTTTTTTTTTTTTTTTTTTTTTTTTTTTATGAGGTCTCACTGTATAGCTCTAGCTGGCCTGGAATTCACTATGTAGACCAAGCTGGTCTTGAACTTGCAGTGATTCTCTTGCCTCTGCCTCCTGGGTGCTGGGATTATGGGCATGAGCTACCACACCTAGCTTTATTTTGTATTTTTTAATATTTTATTATTTTAATTTTATGCGTATGCATATATTGCCTGCATGTAGGTAAGTGCATCCATGTTGTGCAATGCCCACAGAGGTCAGAAGAGGCTGGGACTGGAGTTATGGACAGTTGTTAGCTGCCATGTAGGTGCTAGGATTCCAACCTGGTTCTTATGTGAGAACCACCAGTGTTCTTAACTGCTGAGCCATCTCTTCAGCGCCGCTTTATTTTGTATTTTTAATATTTGATTCTAATCACACACTCTGGCTGCCTGACCTGTCACAATAAACATGGCTTGTAAGACGCTGGAATGTAGAGTTTGGAATATGGTAATTAGGAAACTAGGACAAATATGCTGAGTCAAGGTATAGCTTCCTTTAAAATGAATAGAGTACACAGAGATAGCACACTGACCATCAAGAAGGCTAGAGTGAAGGGTTTTTTCATGTACTAGTCTTCAAATTCTGGTGTCTAGATAGTCAAACGCTTCCATCATGGTCCTCAGGCTCCATTGCTACAGGCCTATGGGGAGGCAGAATGTCATGGTGGCAGGCATGTATGGCAGAGGAGGCTGTTCCCCTGATAAATCAACTCATGGTTTAATGGCTGGTTCTGATGTCTCTGTGTTATGATGAGGTAGTGGAAGGCCACAGCTGAGCAATTGCAGTCACTGTCTTTTGTTTGCATCATGCCTGCTAACTAGTGTCTGTGTTCAAGCTGTGCTCAGACCCTTGGATTTCCACAGAAGAGTGAGAAAGTACATCCTGTAGGGTGAATAGAGAAGACTTGAAAGTCTAAAAGATAAAAGATCAAAACCTTGTTGAAGGTGTCTCAAGAAATTTAACAGAATCACTGTGTGATCCAACAGTTCTACTTCAGGAAGTGAAAGTAGGAACTTGAACAGATTTGTTTTGTTCTGTTTTTTTTTTTTTTTTTTTTTTTTTTTTAGGGTCTCCTTTCTGAGACAGGGTCTCTCTGTAGCCCTAGCTGTCCTGGAACTCACTATGTTGACCAGGCTGGCCTCAAACTCACAAAGATCCGCCTGCCTCTGCCTCCCAAGTGCTGGGATTAAAGGTGGCTTGTTCTTTTTGTGAGACAATGTCTCACTATGTAACCCAGGTTGGCCTCCCAAATGCTGGGATATATAGGTGAGTTCTACCATGCTTGGCTCTTAAATGAGTTTTTACAGAAGAAAAGTCACAAATCAACACATTTAGCAGTTACATGGGTAGGAACATCAGGTATGAGGACTATAGCAAAGCAGGGGAATCTCTTCTATAGGTTTAGATGTTACAGCATTCTTACCTTTAGGGCTAACAGGAGGCTAGAGGTCTGTTAACCCTACTTAGTCCTGTATTCTGAGTTTATATATTAGCCAAAGATAATTTTGGCTTGTGATCTATAATATTTTATTCCTCTACAATTGAATTTGTTTCTTGAGACAGGGTCTCAGATCAGACTAACCTCAATCTTGCTATGTAGCCCAGGATGACCTTGCTCTTGAACTTCTGATCTTTCTGCCTCCACCTCCTAAGTGCTGGGATTATAGACATGCACCACCTCACCTGATTTATGTGGTGCTGGGGCTTGAAGGAGAGAACGCAGGGCTTCTTGCATACTAGGCAAACACTCTACCAACATAGCTACATCCCAAGCCATAGATACAGCCTTTCAGGAAACTTCAATTCACAATATCTTTCACCACAATTGAAAGAGAGCCAAACTCTGTTTAATTTTAAAAGTCATTTAAGTTTGCTAATAGAAATTCTGGACAATGAAAATTAAAATTAATTAAAATACCCCAAAGTCTAAGAAACAATGGCTTATGGATTTTTGTTTTGGTTTTGTAGGAAGGTTTTGTTTTTGTTTTTTGTTGTTTTTGGGACAGGGTCTCCCTATAGCCATAGCTGGCCTGGAACTTGATATGTAGACCAGGCTGGCCTCTACCTCCCAAGTGTTGGAATTAAAGGTGTACACCACCATGCCTGGCACTAATGCATTTTTTAAACTATAAAAACTTACATATAATTGTATTTTCCAAATCCTTTTCTCAACATAGATGGCCTATTTTTTTTTAGCTGTGTGATCCTCAGAAAATCAGGCTTTTTCATTTGGTTCTTATAGGATTAGTAATTAGCTATTATTATTTACCTTGTTTAGTTCCTGAGACCCTATGCACAAAATACACTTATTGTCCCACAGGACCAGTACAAACGTAGTTAGAGATTTAAAGAGTCACATGATTCGTGAAGTAGGTAAAAAGCTTTGTCTGCCCAAGTTCTGTGTGTGTGTGTGGGGGGGTGTCTTGCAATCATCTTTGTAATTAAGGTATAAGACCTTGTAAGAAAAATCCATCTTTGGCAGGATTATTATGGTACACTGGCGAAAGGCGAGAAGACCAGGATGAGCAGGAGATGGCGTCTGCCTAGAGGTCCAAAGTGAGAGCCCAGTGTAAGAAATAACCATGACGTCATTGGGCTAATTTTGCATGGCTATGGAATCCGGGTCAGGGGTCACACAGCTGTTATATGCCAAGCCCCTTGAATATGGGACTTACAGGTAGACTAAGCACGAGCACATAACACACAAGCAAAACATGGTGCACATTTCTGAAAGAGCAGTCCTAGGATTAGTAAAGAATGTGCATTACTCCACAACGTGATGAAAATTGAAATCTTACAGTCCTAAAGTGGAACCATTAGGGATCTGGCGACTTGCTGGATGAGAGGATCTTTAAGAACCTAGTCCAGCGCACTCTAAATCCGGCAAAGAGCGCCTGAAAATCTGTACTAGGAAGGAAATACGAGGTTTTCCCCACGGGCGCCTTTGTCCAAAGTCTGTAACTATTTTCAATTGTGTTGATTGGCCAGCTCTGCCCTTCGCAGCTCTTAAAGGCTGAGGTGCTCCGCCACAGTAAGCGCGTAGACCGCGAGGGGGCAGCAAGGCCGCTCGAGGCTCTCTAACTTCAGTTCTCTCTCACCATGGTCTAAGGACTAAAGCTGAGACGCGAAATGGTGGCCTCGTCTCTTGCTGTCCTGCGAGGTAGCAGGCTGAGCCAAGGAGGCCTGAAGAACTGGGCGCGGTGGTCGGGACATTCGCAGGCGAGCGCGGGGGTCGGGATCAACTGGGCTCCTGCGCGGACCGCGACGACGCTGATCCTGGAGCCCGCGGGCCGCAGCTGCTGGGACGAGCCGCTGCGCATAGCCGTGCGCGGACTCACCCCCGAGCAGCCCGTCACGCTGCGCACGGCCCTAAGCGACGAGAAAGCCGTGCTCTTCCGCGCCCACGCGCGCTACCGCGCCGACGCCGGCGGCGAGCTGGACCTGGCGCGCGCGCCCGCGCTGGGCGGCAGCTTCGCGGGGCTCGAGCCCATGGGGCTGCTCTGGGCCCTGGAGCCCGACAGGCCTCTCTGGCGCCTGCTCAAGCGGGACGTGCAGACGCCCTTCGTGCTGGAGCTGGAGGTGCTGGACGGCCACGAGCCCGACGGCGGGCGGCTGCTGGCCCGGGCGGTGCACGAGCGCCACTTCCTGCCGCCCGGGGTGCGGCGGGTGCCCGTGCGCGCGGGCCGGGTGCGCGCCACTCTCTTCCTGCCGCCAGGTGAGCCGACCTGCATCCCTTTTCGCTGGCCACAGGTCCTAGCGATTTTACACCAAGAGGTAGCTTTCAGTATCCTAGAGGCCGGTGTCGAGGACATGGGAATGGAATGCTGGATACCTGGGGAGGTGGCCCTACTGCTCCAGCACCGACAGGCTCTTCAAACACACTGCTCAGTTAAAGGGCATCTTAATGAAAGGGAAGACGCCAATAAAAGCCATGAAGTTTCAATTGTCAGAATTTGTTTTAGAGTTTTTTTTTTTTTCTTCTTTGTGGCTGTGCTGGAGATCTAACACTTTACCACCGAACTACATTTAGGGTTTATTTATTCTTTCTTTGTCTTTTTGACACAGGGTCTCCAGGTAGCCCCAGCTGGGCTAGAACTCATTATGTAGACCAGGCTGGCCTCCATCTCACAGAGATTCTCCTCCCTCTGCCTCCCCAAGTGCTGGGATTAGCGGCAACTGCCACCAAGCCCCAGCTAAAATTTCTTAGTCTTGTGTGTGGAAGTCCCAGCAAATTTGGAGGCTGAAGCAAGATCACTTGAGTCACGTTGCTCAAGGCAAGCCTGGGTAAGATAGTAAGGTCCATTTTAAAACAAAATTTTTGGTTTTGTAACTTTTCTTTCCATTCCCACAGTGTGTTAAGGTTTATGTAGACTAGCAATTGCCATAGGAAGGAGGCTTCTTTCTGTCAACTGGAAATACGAGATTACTGGGTATTCTTACATAAAGAACCACTGACCAATGGGAAAAAATGAAAAGCTGCTGTCCTAGCTTGCATTTTGTTGCTGTTACAGAATACTGACCAAAACCAACTTGGGGAGGAAAGAAAGTGTTTATTTGGCTGACAGGTCCATCAGGAGGAGGCCAAGGCAGGAACTGAAGCAGAGACCATGGAGGGACACCATTTACTGATTTGCTACCTCTGACTTGCTCAGCAAACTTTCTTATAAAGACCAGGCCCTTCTGCCTAGGGGTGGTACAGCTCTCAGTGTGCTGGGTCTTTCTACATCACTCAGCAATCAAGAAAATACCCCACAGACGTACCCACAGGCCAGTCTGATGAACGTAATTCCTCATTTAAGGTTCTTCCTGCTTCCCTGGTTATTCTAGTTTGTGTCAGGTTGACTAAAGCTAACCAGCACAGATGCTTAGTAAGCCATGTTAGCAGTCAAGGGAATGAAAAATAAAATTAAAGACAGAACTTTAGAAGTTTAACATTACCAGTAGTAGATGCCAAGTACCCAAACAAAAAGATACTTAAATACAAAGCTAAAAGTGTTCAGTTACTCTGAGAAACAGTTTTTAATTAGATGAATATGTGAGTCTACTCCTTCATGGTACATATGTACCAGGAGGCATAATTGAAAACAGTCCAAATATCTACCAGCAATGGAATTGATGAGTAAGCTAAGGTGTACCTCAGGGTTAAGGATCAACATGTTTCTAAGGCTGTGTTGGGTGAAACAACTCCCAGAAGAGGAGAGGCCATTCAGTATCATTCCATTGTGATAAAGTTCACCAAGTTAGGATGTGGCTCAGTTAAGGTTGGGTGCTTGCCTAGAATGTATGGAACTCTGGATTTCATCCCCCCACATAAAACAATGTGGTGGCACGGGGGTGTAGTAACCCCACTTGGAGGTGGAAGCAGGAGAATCAGCAGTTCTATGCCATCTTCACCTACATAGGAAGTTTGAGGACAGATTGGGATACTTGAGACTCTGTCTCAAAATTTGCAAATGTTTAAAGTCCACATATGAGTGGTTACACCAACAGTTCACACAATTCATGGTACTGCAGAAGAAGGAACGGACAAAGGTATCAAGGGTGTCAGTTGTCTTAGTACTAATTTATTTCTGAGCAGGGTGGTGCCTACCAGGTGGTTGCTGGGTTATTGTTTAAATTAGATAAGTGAAAGGCAGTCCTACTTGCTGTGCGTGGTGGTGCATGCCTTCAATCCCAGCACTTGGGAGACAGAGGTAGGCAGATCTCTGAGTTTAAGCCATCCTGGTTACATAGTGAGTTCCAGGCCAGCTGGGGCTACTGGGAGACCCTGTCTCAAAAAGACCAAAAAAGAACAACAGGCCTACTTATAGTGATGGCAAAAATATTTAGGACATTAAATCATGTAGAATGAACACAAAGTCTTTTTATTATTTTTTAAATTTTCTGTATCTGAGTGTTTTGCCTGCATGTATGTATGTGCACCTGTGTCTTGTAATGCCTGTGGAGCCTAGAAGAAGGCTCCCTCCTTGAATCCCCCTGGAACTAGAGTTATGGACAGTTGTTAGCTGCCATGTGGGTGCTGGAAACCAAACCTAGGTCCTCTGCAAGAGCAGCCAGTGCTCTGCGCCATCTCTCCAGCCCTTATGTGTAGCCTTTTGAGTCTGTGTCCATTCACTCCGTAGACTACATTTGAGATTTCTGGGGCTCTTCTACTCATCAGGTGTTTCTGTTTCTTCATACTATGCCATTATGTGGATGTAGCAGTTTGTATTCACTCTCTAGTTGAGGGAATTTGAGTTCATTTGCAGTCTGAAGATTATGAATAAAGTTGTTGCAGGTGTTTGTATATAAGTTCTTGTGTGAACACAGTTTTTCATTTTTCTTGGATAGTTAGGAATGGAATAACTGCGTCCTATGGTAAGTATAAATTTGACTATGAAAAACTCCATGGGGGCTGGAGAGATGGCTCAGTGGTTAAGAACACTGGTTGTCCTTGCAGAAAACCTGGGTTTGAATCCCAGCACCCACATGGCAGCTAACAACTATCTGTTAACTCCAGTTCCAGGGGATCCGACAGTCTCTTCTGTCCTCCACGGGACAGAAAAAAAAAAAAAAAAAGCCCACAGCTTTCTACACACTGTGTGGTTTTGCATAACACCAGCATTCTGGGTTAGATTTGGTTGCTGCACATCCTCACTGCCAATTGGCATTATTATGGGGGCAGAGAGGAGGGTAATGGTTTTGTGTATGTGCGTGTGCGTGTGTGCATGCGTGCATGCGTGTGTGTGTGTGTGTGTGTGTGTGTGTGTGGGAATCAAATCCATATGCCATGCATGCTACAAAAGCACTCTACACTGGCCCTTAATGTATTTTTTAGCGCTAAAAGTAATATGTGCTCTTTCTTAAAAATCTATGGAGCCACCAGGCGTGGTGGCACATGCCTTTAGTCCCAGTACTCAAGAGGCAGAGGCAAGGCAGATCTCTGTGAGATCAAGGCAAGCCTGGTCTACGTAGTGAGTTCCAAGCCAGCTGGGGTTACAGGGAAAACCTGTCTCAATAAGACCAAAACTCTATGGAGCCTTGAGGCTTTAGATATAGAGAGGACTGTGGGTGGAGAGGGAACTCTGTATTTAGCCTGGGTAACTGTGTGTCTGAAGACCAGTCATCTTTCAGCATTTTTGATGATCAATGGAAAACTTGGTCATCCTCAATTAAGCAACAAATGCCTTTTGATACCACTGCAGAAAGTTTTAGTTACGTTTTGTTTTGTTTCTTCCCCAGAACCTGGGCCCTATCCTGGGATCATAGACCTTTTCGGAGTTGGAGGTGGCCTTCTGGAGTACCGAGCTAGTCTGCTGGCTGGGAAGGGTTTCGCTGTCATGGCCCTGGCTTATTATAACTATGATGATCTCCCCAAGGGCGTGGACAGCATGCGCATGGAGTATTTTGAAGAAGCTGTGAACTACCTGCTTAGCCACCCTGAGGTTAGATCTTCCCTAAGTTCCCCTCCCCCCCGCCCCCAAGAATTATTTCTTTGTTTTTATTTAAAAATGTGTAGAAGACTGGGCATGGTGGTGCACGCCTTTAATCTCAGCACTCAGGAGTCAGAGGCAGGTAGATCTTTCTTTGTGAGATGGAAGCCATCCTGGTCTAGCAAGTTCTAGGCCAGCTGGGGCTACAGGAGACCCTGTCTCAAAAAAAAAAAAAAAAAAAAAAAAAACAAAAAAAAACAAGTAAAAATAAAATATAGATGCAGGATTTCCCTTTTCTTAATTGAAGTTTTGAAAATTGCATACAATATATTTTTATCATATTTATACCCCCTCCCACTATCTGCACCCCCTTTCCACTGCCTGTCTGATTTCTTACACTCATGGAGGGGAGATAGAATGCAGTGATAAAAAGGGCAAAAAGAAGAATAATAGAGTAGGAAGGGTTAAATGGGGTAGGGAATGAGGACGGAGGGCAGAGGAGGGAGCCTAGAGAGGGGTAATTAACATTAAAGGCCTTTGGAAAAAGTCATATGGAAATCTTAAGTTTTATGTGCCCTAAGTTTTATGGGCCCCTTATCAGATCTTCCCATGTGTGCTCTGGGTTTCACAGACTGAGCACATTTATGACTGCCCCTCTGCTCAACACCCTCTGCCTTCCATGGCCACTTCTCAATCATTTCTATGTGGTGCTGTATTACTACTGTGCTCTTTCTATTGGTATTCTGGCATTCTGAATCCTGTACATTGTAAGGAACCTGAGCACATTTGAGAGCCCTGGGTTTGACAGAGAAAGTAAAGGGAAAGAAAAAGAGCATGGCCATCCCCAGAAGGTGCTCATTTAAATGCTTTTGTTTTATAGCCCTCTCTGAAGCACAGGGTGAATGTTAATGGGGACTAGCAGTTTTGAGATTCTAGATTCAGCACATCCCAAGTTTGGGTGAAAATCCTTGCTTATTTTATAATTTTATATTCAGAATTTAATGTGGCTGGAGGATTGGAGCTCTTACAAAGGTGGAGCCAATGTAGGTTGTATCTAGAGAAAAGTTAAGCTGGAGATTTGATTTTGCTAATTTCTTTTTAAAAATTATATATTATTGTTTTTATGTATTATTGTGGTGTGTGAGAGCATGCACGGGTGTGTTGTGGAGGTCAGATAACAACTTCGTGGATCTCTTCTCTCCTTCCCCTTTATGTGGGTTCCTGGGATGAAACTCAGGTTATCATGCTGTTACAGCAAGTGCTTTACTTCCTGAGTCATCTCACTGGGCCTGATTTTGCCAGTTTCTAATCTAATCTTTGGCACCTGTTTCTTCCTTTGATAAGTAGGATAAACTGTTGTCTAATTCCTAGTACTTTGGTGAGGAATAATGTTTGAAGGTTTCAAGGGTATTGTTGTAGGGGCCAGAGGAGAAGAAAAAAGACTGCTGTGAGGAGTTAACCAAAAGACTGTTTGTGTATCACTAGAGGACACTGGGTGTAAGACAGGAGCAGTTCTTGTGGGACAGTGCCAATCCTAACCACCTGGAAGGCCCTGAGTTAGGAATGGATGAAAAGAAAGCCCAACAAACAGCCTTTGCCACAGGTTTTGCAGTGAACTAGAGTAGAGCAAAAAGGCAGTAACTAGCATGGCTTGGCACAGGTAAGTAAATGGAAGAGGTACCAGAGTGGGAAGGACCTGAGGGGAATGAGCCAAAGAGAGAACTGTAAAGGAAGATAGGAAGCAGGAACGGGAGGCCAGTCCTGGAGAAAGTAGATACCATCCCAAACACAAGTAGAGGGGCCTTGAGATCCGGTACAAAAGCTTGATTTGACCTGGGCATAGGGAGACTAGAGAGTGAGACAGTGTGGCATTCCCACCCCATAGCTTTTTGCTTTCTCAGTGAAGTATGAACAGCTGAAGGTGATGGTACATGAGGGCATTAAAGAGGCTGGAAGAGGTAGGAGAGGATGAGATGTCCTTTGGAGAAGTGGAGAGCAGAACACCAGTGTCCATGCTGGTGCTCATGTGAAATGAAAGGTCAGCCAGCAGAAACACCCATTTTCCTTAGCACTAATACAGGACTGGAGGAAGTGAGCAGGTGATTTCACCTGGGCTAGCCCTTTTCTAGACCAGTATGACCAAAGGAAGAGGAATAAAGGAGGCGTGAGTATTCGCAAGGGAATGACTGCTAATGAAGCTCAGAATCTGAATGGAGAGGCTGCAAAGTGAGAGTTGGTAGTGAAGAAGTTAGGAGGGCTTGCTGAGGTTTCAGTGAGGGAGAAAGGAGCATTGCTAGACAGATTACACGGAAGGATTACACGTGCTGTTCTTCCAGAAGACCTGGGTTCGATTCTCAGCACCCATATGGCAGCTAACAACTGTCTGTAACTCCAGCTTCAGGGGATCCAAAGCCCTCTTCTGGCCTCTACAGTCTTTGCACGACACAGGTGCACTTACATACATTCAGGCAATACATTCATACACATAAAATAAAAATAATAAAAAAAATTTTAAAAATTAAAAAAAAATTATGATGGCCAGAAAGTAGAATGCTTGAGGTGAGATTTTGGAGCTAAAAAAATACTTGTTGATGACAACAGGTTTGGGTTATCAGTGGGAATGGCTGATTCAGGTGGGATCATGGAAAAAGGTCACAAGAATTTTGGAATCATCATGTGGTTGTTGTAGTCTCCAAGAATGGTGACAGAAAGATTGTGAAAAGAAAGATATGGGGGAAGGGCAAATAGACTTTTCCAGGTTGCAGTCTAGAGAACAGAGCCCAGAGCTAGACTTAGTTCTTCCTCGCTTTCAGGCTGGTCCTACTCATAATCACAGTGTTCCTGGACTAATTCTTATTCTTTTGTCCTTTTCTCAGGTAAAAGGTCCAGGAATTGGGCTGCTTGGGATTTCCAAAGGGGGAGAACTTGGCCTTGCTATGGCCTCTTTCCTGAAGGGCATCACAGCTGCTGTCATCATCAACGGCTCTGTGGCTGCTGTTGGGGGAACGATTTACTACAAGGATGAGAGTGTACCCCCTGTGTCCATACTGAAAGATCGTATCAAAATGACCAAAGATGGCCTCATGGATATTGTGGATGGTCTGCAAAGCCCTTTGGTAGAACCGAAGAGCTTCATTCCCGTGGAGAGGTCTGACACCACCTTCCTGTTCCTGGTAGGTCAGGATGACCACAACTGGAAGAGCGAGTTCTATGCCAATGAGGCCTCCAAACGCTTACAGGCCCATGGGAAGGAAAAGCCCCAGATCATCTGCTATGCAGAAGCGGGGCACTACATTGAGCCCCCTTACTTCCCCTTGTGCAAAGCTGGCATGCACCTCCTGGTCAGTGCTAATATCACCTTTGGAGGGGAGCCTAAGGCTCATGCCATGGCCCAGGTAGATGTGTGGCAACAACTCCAGGCTTTCTTCCACACACACTTGGGTTGTAAGAGTTAGGCAGTGTCTTTCCTAAAATATAACCTATTATCTAATGGCTTAGGGGAAAAAACCTCAAATATATTCTAAGAATATCAGTTCAGATTAATTCATCTGAAAATATTCTAATCCTTTTAAGTTTTTTCTTTATGTAATAATATTAAAAACAGTGCCTAATTGGGCATGGTGGTGCATGCCTTTAATCCCAGCACTTGGGAGGCAGAGGCAGGTGGATCTCTGTGAGTTCAAGGCCAGCCTGGTCTAC